GGGGTTTGCCTCTCTGTTTCTTATACTTGAGGATAGGAATGTGTTGGTGGCAGATCAGTTTGATTCGTCTAGGAACTCATGGACTTGGTGCCCAAATTTCAGGAGAAACCTCAATGATTGAGAACTTGTAAACATGCTATCTCTGCTTCAACAACTTCAGTCCCAATCTTTAGTTCCACCTCAACAAGACAAGGATTTGGAAATGGTCCAGGGATGGTAATTTTTTTGTGAAGTCTTTCTACAAGAATTTGTTTAGAGAGGAGAGGTTTGTTGTTGGACTCCTGATGTGTGTTGTGTGACAAGGAGGTTAAATCTGTTGATCATCTCTTCCTACATATTCTGACTACTTGTAAGCTATTTAGTCATTTTCTGCTCTCTACTGAATGTTAGATGGTGTTTCCCGATGTCTTTATCTCAACTACTTTCCTCCTAGAAGCTAGTGGTCTTGAGTAGAAGGGGTAAGGTGCTCTGGAGTGTCATTCATCATTGTGTGTTGGGTTTTGTGGAAAGAGGGGGATGGGAGAATTTTTGAAGGAAAGTTCACACCTTCAGAGGTTTTGGCAACTAAGGATGTGGCGACTTTGCATTCTTGGTTATCTACCAACAATCTGTTCATAGATATCCCACATCATAGTATTTTGATTATAGCACTTTGTTTCTTGAAGCAATCTGAGTCAAGTTTTTTTGTGGCTTCCTTGTATAGTTTCTGGCTGTACATGAAGCATACTTGATAGTTGTATTTTTTGTCAAGTTAATACAATACTATATATATATACTACTATAAAAAGCACAAATAGAGCTTGAGATTTCTGGAATTTTACTTAACTAAAATACCCCTCATTTTGAATTTAGACATTCTTTATTTTGGGGGGTAAAAAGTATAATTTCAACACCACTATTCAATTCATTCAATTCCCTCTCATTAAATTCTATATTTAAGGTATTAACCCTATTGATTTCTAAAATTTTTCTTGGCTAAAATACCATTTATTTTGAATTTGGACAATTTTCATTTTGGGGGCAAAAATGTAGTTTCAATTGTACTATTCATTTTATTCAATTCCCTCACATTAAATCCCATATTTAAGGTATTAACTCCTACTCTATTGTTTACAAAAAAAAACCCTATTCTCTATCATTGAATACTATATTTAAGGTTTTTTTTGTTTTTAAATTCTATTAATTAAGTCTATAAATAATGATTTCCACAATATAAAAACCTATATTTTCAAAAACAACATCGAAATGAAACCATTTTTTCATCTAGGTGGTGGGTAAGTAGTTCAACCATTTGAGCCAAATGGATCAATCCAAAATGCCATAATTAAATAATAAAAATTAAAAATAGATAAATATATAAAAAACATAAAAAGCAAAAAAAATTGTAGAAAATTTTGGACACATCACTATTATTATATATTGTCATATTAAACATAAGTATGATATGTTTTTTGTAAACTAAAACTTTATAAAAAGAGAAAAAAAAGGAAGTTTATACAATAGAAGTACCCAAATGGAGTATGCAAAAACCCGGGCCATACAATAGCAACCCAACAAATAAATATGAAAAATATGAAGTATTTATCAATGATGAAAATAGAATATAAAATTTAAAATAAAACAAAGTTAAAACCATTTTCTATCTAGATGGCAGATTAATGGTTCGACCATTTGGGTCAAATTGGTCAACCCATGGTTTCATGATTAAAAAAATAAAAATAAAAAAATACAAAAAATATGAAAAAAATAAAAAATAGGGCAAATGTTTACTATTATATATTTGACATATTAAAAACTACATGTGATAAATAAGAATTGTTTCATTAATAATAGAACTTGAATATAAGAATTAGAAAAATTGATGTCTAATTTGTGATTCCACTATCTAGTTTAAATGGTTAAATTAGGCCACCATGATGATAACCAAGTAAATGATCCTTTTCAAGTAAGTGATTTGGTTGTAAATGGACTAGAAATCATTGTTAGGTGATGGATTTACCCATTTGACCAATTGATTTGACCATAAGATAAAACCATGTTTTAAAAGTCAATTGCAATTCCATTTCCCTCCCAATTAAATAAGTTAACTTGTAATGACATAAAATAAATAATGAAAATACAAAATATAAAAAATTATAAAACTTATAAAAGAAATTGAACATGTCTTTAATATTATATATATTCTTTATATCTATGATGCCAGAAGGTATAATACCAAAAGAATTTTAACTAATCATACCCCACTAAGAAATTTTAGTGAATACCACTTGATTGGTACTTGGCATATGAAGGAACCTAGAGTAGCTCCAAAAGGAGAAAATTGAGATGATTTGGTCATTTGCATGTAATACCATATATAAATCTCTTTAAAAAGGTGTTCAATTTAATCTTGAAGAGCTAAGAAAGCCAAGGATAAATCAAGAAGGACTTAGGTGACGATGATAACCATATAATTGAATGGTGAAAGGGGGATTCATATAGCTGATCCCATATAATTTGGACAAAGCTCTTAAATGACGATGATAACCACCTAATTGGTTATCATTTTATGACATCAATTATACTATGATTCAATCACTTATCTTTGAAACACGAGCTCTAATAAGAGCATTTAAATTTTATTATCATTATCTTTGGAAATTGCCACATGCAATGCATGTGCACATTTATATATATATATATATATATATATATATATATATATATATATATATATATATANTATATATATATATATATATATATATATATATATATATGTATGTATGTATGTATGTATCTATGTGTGTATATATGGGTCAATTTGGTTTTTGTCGATTTACAAATGGCCAAATTGAAATTGACCCGACCTAGTTAGGTTGGGAAATTGTTGAACTGAAACCCACATGAAATACTAGAAAATTAATCAACTTGAGTTGAGTTGGGTCATGCTGGTTGGCTTCACCGGTTTGATGAACAACCTAGATGAAATTAATTATTGTTATTTTTATATTATAAAAAATATTAAAAATAATATATAAAATATAACTAATTATTAATTATTTAAAAGATTAAACTATAAAACAATTGTTTCTATTATATGCTTTTATTGTTTAGTTTCACTTAACAAAAACCGATGCATCGCACGGGTCCTCTAGTAGTGGCTCTAAAGTCCAATTGCTATATTTACAATGATATTAATCAAAACCCTTCTAGTATCATGTCTTTCTCGAAAGCATAGGTTTTCCCATTACAAAGGGACCGTTCGATATGAATATTTTTACCGGGAAGTACAGACAAGCCTAATGCAGATTTCTGATATCTACTAAAGAACTATAAACATTAAAAATGTCAAAAAAACCCCACTCAACACTAATTGGCATCAATTTCGAACTGGCACCCACCCCAAATTGTTAATTAATGTGGTTGACGTGACCTTTTATCTGTCGTCTGAAGCTCAAGGAGCGAAACTTTATTGTCTTTTTTCTCGTCAACCACTTTTTACTTTCCAAAGCGCCCATGGATTTTGAAATTACGAAATTGATTGGGAAGGAGGACATCTCTTTTGTGAAAAATCAATCTGATCCGAAAGCTCCCCAACAACATTTTTATAATTTCAACTACAAAAGAAAATAATTGAAAAAAATTATTAATATCATTGAGATTTCGTGGAATGGGCAAACCTGGGCAAGATTTTTAAGAATCAATACAACCAAGGGCGTGACTGCTTTGGGTGACAAATACGTACGTAGGATTTTATAGAGTTTACTCAGGCGTGACTGCTTCTGCAAGATCATTAGTCATAACAACTATTATTCAATTTTCTGTTGTCCATTGAAGTATCAAATAACATTTGATGACCTGGTGAGTCGGTGTTCCATATGTTTGTTCTACTAATTAAATCTTTGGGATTCATCATAAGTTTCCAATACAGGATTCTTATCATCACCTTCTCATTGATAGAACATGACGGAGGCAGTTATCAGCTTTCTTCGCAATAAGCTAGACTCTTTACTGACGGAACAAGCAAGACTACTCAAAGGAGCAAAAGGAGATATCAGAGGCCTCAGGGATGAATTAAATAGCTTGCGAGCCTTCTTGATGGATGCTAATTCAAGGCAGGAGAGTGACATTGGAGTGAAAACCTGGGTGGAACAAGTGTGTGACTTGGCATATGATATCGAAGATGTTCTTGATGAGTTTGTGCTTGAAACAGAACAATCCGAGTACTGTGGAGGGTTCTTTGGGTTTATCTGTAATGCAATCCACAAATCCCCATGTACTTCAACTCCGAAATGGATCTGTGCTCGCCTACAAGAAATTAAAACAAGAATTTTCAAGATAAAAGAAAGGAGCGAGAAATACCAGTTCAACAACTTGAAGGGAGTTTCAAGTTCCAACAATGTATCGCGTGATCCACGGGTGGTTTCTCTTTATATCGAGGATATTGAATTCGTGAGCAGAGATGGGCCTAAAATTGAATTAATCAACTGACTAGTGAATGGAGAACTACATCGAACAGTAGTTTCTGTGGTTGGTATGGGCGGAATTGGCAAGACGACACTTGTTAGAAAAGTCTTTGTTGATAAAAGGGTAGGACACTTTGATTGACGTGCATGGATTACAGTATCACAATCTTTCAAAACTAAAGAACTTATGAAGGCTATGATCAAGAAAATCCACAGGACAACAAAGGATACTGTGCTATTAGAAGGAGTCAATACAATGGAAGAGGACCAGTTGATTGATATTTTGAGGAATTATTTACAATTAAAGAGGTATGTAGTTGTGTTTGATGATGTCTAGGATGTGAACTTTTGGGATTCCATAAAACACATACTACCTCGTACCTATTATGGTAACAAAATTTGGTTACAACACGAGATGCTGATATAGCATCTTATTGTTGTAGAGAATCAAGTAGTCATGTCTATGACTTGAAACCTCTATCTGATGGTGATGCTTGGAAACTCTTTTACAAGAATGCTTTTCCATCCTTTAATTTTGAGAGCCAGTGCTCTCCAGATTTAGAGGAATTTCCCTTTAAAATTCTAAAGAGATGTGAATGTTTGCCTCTTGCTATTGTTACGATAGCTTCTTTATTGTCATTGAAATACAAGACTGTACAAGAGTGGAAGAAATTGCATGACAGTCTTGGACCGGAGTTGGAGATTAATCCCATCCTTGGAAAATTCAACAAAGTCTTATTGTTGAGCTACAACAATCTTCCATACCACTTAAAACATTGTTTTCTATATTTTAGCATTCTTCTTGAAGATTATGCCATTACATCCATGAGGTTGGGTCGCCTTTGGATTACTGAAGCTTTTGTTGAAGAAACCAGGGGAAAGACGTTGGAAGAGGTAGCAGAAGACTATCTCAATGAACTTATCCGTAGGAATTTGGTTCAAATGGTAGAAATGAATGATTCTGGGTAGGTAAGATTTTGTAGGGTACATGACCTCTTACATGATATCATTATATACAAGGTCGGGGAAGAGAGATTTTGTGATGTATATGCAGAAGGGAGATCAGCTAAGTCAGACAGGAAATTGCAGCGTCTGTCAATACATGACATCAACAATGGCAAAAATGATATTCAGAGATTAGTGGAAAGGTTTTCCCAATCCCATCTTCATTCATTGTTCATGTTTGTGTCGGATAATCATCCAACAAGCTCCTTGGAGAATATGCCTTTTGTCAACTTTAAAATGTTAAGAGTATTGGATCTACAAGATGCACCTTTGGAGAAATTTCCTAATGAAATTGTAAATCTGATTCATTTGAGATGTTTATGCTTGAGGAACACAAAGATAACTGTCATTCCCAAATCGTTAGAGAAGCTATGGTACCTACAGACTCTGGATCTTAAATTTACGAAGGTGGTGGATTTGCCTATCCAGCTCTCCAATCTTAAATAGCTAAGACATTTATTATTCTACGATTATGGATTTATGCCTAGTGGTGTGCGGGTGGCAAAGGGTATAGGATGTTTAATGGCCCTACAAGATCTTTATAATGTTAATGTGGATCTGGGAAGTAGGGATCTTGTTAAGGTGTTGGGTGAGTTAAGCCAACTCTGATGGTTGGGCGTTTCAAACATTAGACGGGAATACATGATAGATTTGTGTACATCCATTGAGAAGATGTCTCACCTCCATAAGTTGTGCATAGAATCTAATGAAGAGAAGATTATAGAATTGGAATGTTTATCTTCACTTCCCAAGATGCTTCAACGTCTATATTTGCATGAAGCCTTTGGGAAGTTACCAAGTAGCTTGATTCCTTCACTTCATAATCTAGTCAAACTACAACTATTTAGGTCAAAGTTGAGGGTTGTCAAATATTACAGCGATCACCAGTGGGGATCCAACACCTCACACAACTTCGAAATCTAATCTTTAGTAAAATGCCAGACTTTTCAAAGGAGGGTGCTACTTCTGGATTTGTGTGTGTAACCTATTCAATCAAATACCTCTTATCGGTTCTGAATTTATGGAGGGAGAAAAATGGATAACATATACTGCTCGTCAATTTTATAACATAATGGTTGATTTAAAGGATGCTGGTTTTGGTTCTTTTGCTAGAGTCTGCACTTGTGTCTCACCATTTCATCATTTATTCGGTCAGTATCAAGCATATATATATATATATATAGTAGCCAATATTCTTTCTTCCTTTTCCTTTGTTTCAATTTTCTTTTAAATGTGTTATTTGGTTATGACAGAACTAACAGTGCAAATTCTTGGTGCGGACAAACCGGAAGAGTAAGTTAATATTTTAGTTGCACACATGTAATTAATTACTACGTTTATATTTTAGTAACCATATTCTATTCCATCTGCCATAATATTAATGAAGTCTCATATTGCATCCTTCTTGATTTCTTATAATAGAGAGACAAAAACCACTAAAAGTTTGATACAGAAGAAGCGATAGGATTACATTGAAGCATGTCGTGCCTCCACCGGTATAAATTGGGTACATATGTGAGGAGAAGAAAAACCTGAACTTCAACAGAACCTCTTTCGCTCTATTCAAATGGTCTGTTATGATATTGATATGGAGTGCTACATCAGTATTGAAGAGGACATTATAGAGGTCGACTGTAGTAGTTGTTGGCTATTACATGAACAAATAATGTCAGAATTATGAACAAGCCATGCCTCTGCTAGTGCAAACTGGTTGCATATTTTGGCAGAGGTACAACCTGAACATCAAGGTAACTTTATCTACACTCTTGAGACGTTCTGGAATTGATTGATTATGAATGCAATAGGAGCATTTAAGACATGATAGAGGCTCAACTTTAATAGTTGTTGTCCACCACGTTAACAAATAATGTCAGAGCCAGCAACTTCACTTCTCCAGTTTGCAGGGTGATGACAAAAGCCAAAGCTACATTGTTCTGCTGGCTCGTATGAAACTTCTTTGGTGACTATCCTTACCATATAGTTAATTTGGTTGAGGTATGTTCCGTGTCTTGTAAATATTTGCATGGATTCTTTCCTTTACTTTTCTTTTTAATTATTTTTGTAAGATAATAAACAGGGTTTTATGCTTTTAGAGTTTTAGTTTTAGGAAGAAAAATAGTGTAAACTGATGAGCTCCAAAAAACTGTTGTGGTGTCTCTACAGCAATTTCACAATCAGGTTGTGATAAAAAAACATTAAACAAAATAGAGCAAGCTATTGAACACTAGAGAGGAAAAATCTGATAGAGAACAACTTTAATTTGTATTTCACACTCTCAATAAACAAATACAAAGAACTCCTTAAATAGACCCAGAACTAAAACTAATTAACTTCCATGGTAACATGTTCAGCACATCTAGTTGAATTTTCTACCAAGTAATAAACAAACAAAAGACATGTGTAACAAGACAAAAACTAACTCTGAAAGCTGAAACTAATTGGACTTGAAAGATAACTTCCTAACTAAATCATGGCCCAACTGGCCCCATAGTTTGAATTCCTAACAAATAGAGCGGACATATTAAAAGGGGTTCAGTAGTTATTGATATCTTTTATTTTCTCTTGTTTTTGTTCTACTGTTAGTTTATTTAATTTTAAGTTCTTGGAACTAATTGTTGTTGTAAAGTGAGGATCTTATTAATTTAGGCATAAGATTTTACATTAATCTAGGTATTTGTTGATATTGAATAAAAAAAAGTACCCACTGCGAGAACCACCTTGATCATTCCGTTTTACTATGGAGACATAATTTAAATAGATGAGTCAATCACTCTCCTTTCAAGATTTTGGTTTGCTGAATTTTTAAGAGGAACAGAGTGAGTTAATCACCATCCACCAAGTTTTTCCTGATTTATGAATCTTCCAATAATAACAACATCCTTAAATGGAACTAACCTTCATAAAAAAATGTCCAATACCTATTTACGTGTTGGGGCCTTACAACAACCACCCACAGTAAAAAATAACAAGGTATTTGAAATAGAAAGTACGAAAAATGTAATGGAAGTAAAAATGATAAAAAACAGCGACAAATAAAAACACAAAGATTTACTTGGTTCTGCCTTACTGCCTACATCCATGGGAGAGACGAAATCTGTTCTTCACTATGAAAGAAAACTGAAAACAATACAAGTACCTTGCGGCTTGCAGCCCAAACTAACCCTTACCCTTGTACACTTGTTCTCCCTTTCCTCTTAGCCCGAAGAACAAAAACAAGAGAAAAAACTCACTCTCATACCAAGAGCACTCTGTATTTTTCTCTCACACCTTTTCTCCCAAAAAACCTTAACCCTACATACAAAAGAAAGCTTTTATATGTAAAACCTCTTTAACCTAAAGAGGGACCACACCAATCGTTAGATTAAAATTAATCCAATGGTTGTAAAATAAGACACAATCCCCACAATCTCTACCTTGGCTTATTTTTCATCCATCTTAGAGTTATACTATTTGTGCCTCCACCTGTTTGCAAATACTATAAACCACCATTGGGCTTGTAAACACCACCAGCTACACATAACTTAAATCATTTGGTCCTAACTCTACCTGATTTAAACAAGACAACTAATGTACTTGTGTAACTGTATCCAAGCTAACAATCCTAGTTAACTCTAGAGAATGACCTCGATCATTCCTCTCTTCCAACAACAATCTTCCTCTCACCATCATCTATAACTTGGAAACTTATAGAACTTGTCTCCGCTCTATCCACAAAAGAAACCCTCCGTGTAGCCACACTACCTTGCGCATTTCATTTCCAACATTCCGTCGAGGTCTTGGAAACCACTATACTCTCTACCAGATGATACAAACCCTTGCATTTTCTCCCTTCATCAGGACCATACCGCCATGTATGATTTTCATGGCTCTACCTACAACAAAAACCTTGCATCCCTTGGAGACTAACCGACTAAGTGATATTATATTCCTACACATTTTTGGGACATACACCACACCACCCAAGGTGCGAACCACTACATCAAACATTTTTATTTTCATTGTCCCAACACCCATGATGTTACACATAGATTTATCACCTAAAGTGACAACACCTGTCTCCCTCTCTTGGAACACATCAATATATTCCTTCATGGAGCAAATATGCAAAGAACATCCAGAATCTAAAATCCACTCATTTGGAGAAACATTGCATATACCTTCGGAGACTGTGAGAGCGTCTCCATCATCATCAGATACAATTGCCATGCTTCTGGATTCATCCTCACTCCTTTTTTTGTGTAGGAAAATCTCTTTTTATGTGACCAAATTCCTTGCATTTATAACATTGTATCTTGCCATTTTCCCTGACCTTGGATTTAGACTTATTGCTCTTAGACCCTTGCCAGATGACCTTCCTTTTTTGCCCTTTTCCCTGACCTTGGATTTAGACCCGCTGCTCTTCTTCCCTTTCAATCCGTTCTTAGTGTAACCAATGTAGAGTCTTGCCTACTCTCATACTTGGGCTTCTTCCTAACCTCATTTGATAGAAGAGATGCAATAACTTCTTCCAGATTCACTGTATCTTTCCCATACAACAATGTTGTTACTAAGTTTCCATACGAATTAGGAAGTGAGGTAAGAAACGAAAGGGCCTTGCCTTCTTCCTCCACCTTGATATCAACTTTCCCTAGTTGATCCAAGATACTGTTGAACACATTTAGTTGTTCAAAGAGATCCCCATCTTCTTCCATCTTCAGTCTATACAACTACTGCTTCAGATATAGCTATCAACTTTCCCTAGTTGATCCAAGATACTGTTGAACACATTTAGTTGTTCAAAGAGATCCCCATCTTCTTCCATCTTCAGTCTATACAACTACTGCTTCAGATATAGCTTTATCGTTAAGCTTTTTCCCAAATATAGCTTCTCCAGCTTATCCCGCAATTTTGGTGCAGAATCTTCTTCCATAATATTAGACATAACGTTATCATCTAGGAGCAATTGAATCGTACTAACACACCTT